AGAGACTCGGATAACGTTCTGGGGACAAAGATTCGAATCCCGCCATGGCTAATGTGGAATTTGAATTGAATAAATATTGGGAATTAACAATCTAATGATGACCATGAATCAATTGTTTGTTCGAAAAACCCACCTGGTTCACTAATGTCCTTTAGGGAAGGAAACTGCCATCCTTACCTGGTCTGGCCAGACCCACAGCAATGTGGTTGACTCTGGGAAAATAGAGATAGGCAATAAATGCTGCCTAGCCAGCAAAGCCCTCATCCTGTTAATGAACAAGGGAAAAAGAATATTCCGTTTGCCTTCCTGATTGTTTGCTACACCATCATGTTAATTGTGAATGATTTATGCACAAGGAAACCAGTGTCCTTTTTGAGAATTTGGGACGATTTTGATCTTCTCTTAAGAAATACACCACACCTCCATTCCTTCTACCAATGTGTATAACTTTGAACTTTGTATTATGTTCCATCTGCCATGTTCTTGCTCATCCAGTCCATAGTCCCTTGAAGCCTCTTTACATTATCCTCTCTACAAACAATACCACTTAGTTTTGTGTCATCTGCAAACTTGGAAAGTTGGCAGGAAGGCAAGCACATTTACATGTTTTGTAAATAATCCCAATATTTGTTTCCCATATTTAGATGGACTACTCCTTCTACTAACGAATCTCTGAAGAACTTTTCCATTAGCTTTCTAAATTGCTTAATTTCAGTTTAATTAGTGACTACCTTGGAAATGCTTTTTATTGCTGAAATGTTGATGGCACTGCTAAAGAAACCATAAGAAATGAAGTAATGGGAATAGGTAATTTCCTTCAGCTTGGTTTGTAGAATTCAAGTTTTACTTCAGAGTTTGATTATCTGAAACTACTCTGACACTCTTGCCCAACATAGAGGGAATCTCTGTATGGAACTGTCTCATTTCTGGTGTGTTTCGAAGTTAATATATCATAGCATTGTTACAGCATGGAAGGAGACCATATGACTCCCTGTCCTTACTGGCTCTTTTCAAGGTAGAGTCAGCTGCTCCTCCTCCTCTTTTCTGTAGTTATGTTAGTTAATTTTCTTCTTCTGTCAAAAACTGTGTAATCTAATCATCAGCCTTCACTACACTCAGTGCATTCCAAGACCAAACCTGTTGTGTGTTTTTTTAAATGAAGTCCTTCATGCTGCCTTTATCTATCTTTTGCCATAAATCAGAATTCTGCGGTTTTCCAATCCAATATTGAAAGTTCTGCAACATCTCTTTGAGGAATAGAGACTTCTTTCTGTGCCTGACCATATTTTATTCCCCTCAGTTTTGGTGAACCCATTGTTCACAATGAGATTCACGATTGTCACATTCAGTTAAATCAGCGAGTGCCTTTTAAATCTTGGGTTGTCTCTTTATTTTTGTTTTTAACTTCCTTCCTTGTCCACTTACGCTACTAGCATTTCCAGTTTTTGTTACTTTGAAAAGAGAAGTGAACAATTGGCAAAGGTCCCAAAAAAGTAATATTTCTCCCACAGCCAAAATAGATGCAGCAATGATGTAAGTTGGCATGATTGTTTCTCTTGTTTGCGTAGACTCAACCCACGAGTAAGATGATTTTCAGTATTTCTATTGATGGAACTTTTATTAGAAAATAAGTAAACTCTTTTAAGAAAAGCTGAAAGATGCTGTCCAAGCTTTTGGCCTTGGATCCATCAGAATGGAATTGCAAGAGTACCAAATCTCAAAGGAAACAGCAGTTTGTTGCATGCAGAGAGGGTGCTTAGTGGCTAGCAAGTGAACTCCAATACAGATTTTGGCAAGGAGAATGCACTAGGGGATACTTTAACTGCCAAGCTTTTGTTTAAGTTCAAACCTGGTAAACCTTGATTCTGGTCAAGGCATTGCCATTGTGAATGCACCAGGGAATGGCTCTTCCCCAACATTTGTTTTAGCTGTAAAGTTGCAATGTGTAGACACAGTTTTTTTTTTTTTTTTTTTTTTTTTTCCGTTTGCAAAGAACAAGGCTCTGATTGTGAATGTGAGATACTTCTGGTAAGTGAACTACATTGTAAGCCCAAATGTAAACCCAATTGGTGACTGGCTTTCCCTGGAAAAACATTTACGAACAAGGTTGACTTGTTTGAAACAGTCCTGAAACTTTCTGGTACAGTGATCAATTTCACAACATCCATGCTGAGATTTGAACTCATGACCACCTAGAATCCTTATCCTGTAACATAATTAATACTGCAGTAATGGGTAAACAATTGTCATTCTCTGCCTGAAACTGGCCAGATAAGTTGAAGGCATTCAAGCTGTTCTAGTTTTAATAACTTGAGTTGAGGGCAGAATTGAAGAAACTGAGATTCATGTTTCGCTGTGGTATAGTGGCCATAGTGTGCAGCAGCAATTCATGGAGGAATGTTTATACAATTTATTTCACGAACTATTTCAATGTTAAATGTTGACACAAATATGACTTCATTTATGAAGTAGAGTTTTTTATGTGCAGGTAGTTTGAGCTATACACGAGTCTTCAGTAATAGTTTTTTTGGTTTGAAACCTTGTACAGGGTTTTTTGATTTTCTGCAGTTTTATGCGTTAGTTTAATGTGTTCAGCAGGAAAAAATTGGCATTAGAGGCAGTCTAGAGAAGCTTCACTGGGTTGATTTGAATGTGAAAGGGTTCTTTTGAGGAGATGTTGAGTAGGTTGGGTCTGTACTCGAGTTTAGAATGCGAGGCAATTTTACTGAAAGTTAAGATTCTTTTAAGGGCCTTGACAAGGTAGATTCGGAAAGCTAGAATCTCCCACAGGGAAACCACTTCCATTGGGCTTAATTTCAATTCAGGGGTCACACATTAAGGTAGTGATAAGGAGGAATTTGCTTGAGGGTTGTAAAGCTGTGAAATTCTTGACTAAAGAGGCTGGGTCGTTAGAAATATTTAAAGTTTTAGAAATTTTGGTCCTTTTTTTTGATCGGGAATTATTGGGACAAGGCAGCAAAGGGGAGCTGAGGACTATCTGATCAGCCATGATCTCTGACTGGAGGAACAGACTGGGTAGGCTGAATGGCCTACTGTTTTTGTTCTTGCATCTTCTTTAGGTTAGCCCATTCTTAATACACTTCTTTCAGTATCGTTAAATGTCACCCTGTAGAAAGAAGTCCATTTCTTTGGGAAAGTATAGGGAAAATTTGTCAGGCATGTTAAGAATAAAACTTTATACTTTTTCTTCTGACATTCCTTTTCCGTATTTGGAAAAATGTCCTTTTGTACTTCCTAAAATGGTTGACCAAGGATAGTTACTGATACTGACATTAGGAACACCATGATGCCATCTCAAATGTTAAGTCTGTAATGTGTAATATTTACCATGTTACTGTTCACACTGTAGACTTGTGGTAATTTGGTTGAGCACATTATTGTACTTATCTGAATTAGCCCTGTGCAACAAGATCCCACAGAACAGGCAACATTCAAAGTGTAGAATTATTCTTGCCTTTTCTCAGTTGCAGACAGAATTTGACCATCCATGTTTTGAGTGAAAGCTGATGAATTTCCAGACTACAAGGTGTAGAGCTGGATGAACACAGCAGGCCAAGCAGCATCAGAGGAGCAGGAAGGCTGACGTTTCGGGCCTAGACCCTTCTTCCCCTACTATCTCCCTCAGAACATTATGTTTTTCAATTAAATCATCTCTGACTCTTCTGAACAC